CCCCCCCCCCCCCCCCCCCCCCAGGCGATCCTGACAGGCCATAAATCAAAATGGCCATTGGATCTTTCGCATAATGAGCCGCAGCATGGCTTCATCTGTACGGCTTAGCTCTCCTGCAGGCTGTGCTTATTTAGATTAAGCCACCAGTATACCTCTTGGAGGTAGTTCACTTTTCCCCACTTGTCCCCTCGCCCTGTGCTTGTGAGACTTGTAAGACGCACGTCTCCTACGGTATTAAACTTTTATTTATTTATTTTTTTGCTCCCTTCAAAAGTTGGAGACTTTTGATATAAAGGTGGGTTTGCTCAGATGTATGTGTTGAACTTTATTCACTTTCTTCTACTCTTCATGAACCACAATCATGGTGTTTTTGCTCAGTAGTTTTAAATGGATCACCAGGAAATACACAACATATGTTCACTATTAAAGGATAACTCTTTACATTTTGCAATTTGGACCTTTTTTTTTTTTTTTCACCACAATGAAATGTATTTTTGCCAGGAGCATAAATTAGTTTTGATTTGTGATGAATGAAATATTCAGAGCGTTTCTGTTGCCTCTCACCATGGTGTAACGGCTGAGCTTGTAAGACTGGTAATACGCAGTATTAAACTTCTTTTGATTTTTGTTGTGCTCCCTGCAAAAGTTGGAGTCTGCTGGTAAAAAGGTGGGTTTGCTGGGATGTATGTGTTGTATTTTTAATTTTTAAGAAATACAATCACAAAGTTTGTGATGGACATGTCTCTGCCACAGGAGATTACACTACAACCTGCCTCTCTCATCCCTTTGGTATCCCTTGGTTTGATGGTTAATGTTGTTGTTTTTTTTTAATAAACCTTGAATTCTCTCTGCCATTTGTAGCCTCTAGCTTTTGCGTTGAAGTGCTGCTTTCCAGTTAATTTGGGGTCAAATATGAAATGACAGCCTTTTGTGGATTGCTGTTGGCGAGTTGTATGTCCTCATAGAGCTGGAATATAATATGATATATATGATATTATACTTATTTTCCCTGCATTTTAAAGAGTTTCCAATTGACATATTTTTAACTTTTTGTCTTTAATAAATGGCGCTAAATCAAATTCTAACAAATAACCTGCTTGGATTCTGTCTTCCTGTCTGTCTGCAGATGGACCCCGAGGCCAGTGACTTACTGAACGACCTGCAGGTGAAGCTCAACAATGTGCTGGATGAGCTCAGCAGCACGTTCGGGAACAGGTAGCCTAATCCCGACCACCGCGCATTTTCGGTCAAATCGGTAACCGCACGCGCGCTGGTTCGGACTGATCGTTTTCTTTCTTTTCTGGTAGTTTCCAGATCCGCATCAACGACTGCATGCGACAGATGGCGTCGCTGCTTTACCAGATCAAAGGGCCGCTCAACGCCAACAACAAGAACCAGGTGGATGCCGACTCTGACAACATGCTGCGGCCCCTCATGGATTTCCTGGATGGAAAGTGAGTGGATCGAGATTTTCGACTGGTGTTCTTTTGACGATGATGTTCTCTATTCATTCATGTCCTTCTTTCTTCTTCTGTGTCCTAAAGTCTGTGTCCTGCGCAAATCAATTCGGTGAAAATCATAAATTAGAAGTTTTTAACAACTTTCAACAATACTAGCACCAGTTAGGGTTAACACACCTCAGCCCTTTCTGCGTCATCTTGTGTGTGTGTTTGTTCCCCGCAGGCTCACACTGTTTGCCACCGCGTGCGAGAAGACCGTGTTGAAGCGTGTGCTCAAGGAGCTGTGGAGGATCGTAATGAGCAGCCTGGAGAAGACCATCGTCCTGCCACAGGGCAACGATACTTTTGTAAGCTCAGCGACGTTTGACACTAATTTGGCTTTTAGGAGCAGAAAAAAAGAAACGGATGAAGAGCAGCAACTCAGTTTCCTTTCTATTTTTCCCCCCCAGGGAGCACAGATTCTCTCGGCTGCGAAAGAACTGGGCCAGCTCTCCAAACTCAAGGTATCACAATGTCTTTGTACACTTGACACCGTGTTAAATTCCCCCAGTGTTATACAAAGATCACTCATCTATGGTTGTGCCATCTCTTTGCTCATCATTCGGATGTGCAGGATCACATGGCAGGGGAGCCTAAAAGCCTGTCTCCCAGGCAGTGTGCTGTCATGGACGTGGCACTGGACACCATCAAGGTCAGTTTATACCGCCGGCTTTGGTTTCATCAGGATGCCGGGTAGACGGGTCAAATTAGCCTCATCAACTATTCATCCATTAATCAGGTACCCTGAGCGGTCATGCAGGCAGCTCGTGACCATAAGTTGTCTGATTTAACAGGCCGGGAAGGAGGGAAGTGTGTGGAGGTTAAAGTGGATGAAATGAGGGGTGGAGAGAGCCAGATCATTGTGTTGTTTTTGCTACTTTAGTTTCAAATGGATCACCAGGAAACACAGTGATTGTTTGCACAACTAAAGGATAATTCTGGCCATTTTGCAATTTCTACATTATTTTGAAAGTTTCTGCTGCCGTGATTAAATTAATTTTTGCCAGGAGCAAAAAAACCAACTCACTTCAATTACTTGAATGAACTTGTTTAGATTTTCAATTGTGCTAAATCCAAGATTGCGAGCATTTCTTTAGCCTCTCAACTGCTCTCAACATGGCGGCGGCTGAGCCGGCAGGCTTGCAGCTAACGGTGCTCACAGTGCAAGCTACGGAAAAAGTGGCAACAGTGTTTACATGGGGGAGAACCGGAGGGTGGGAGCTAGGTTCCCGCATAAAGCAAACCTCCAGTCGTTCCTCCAGATGTTTATACGGCCGACTCACCCTCTTGTTTCCTCCGTAGCAATACTTCCATGCAGGAGGCAGCGGGCTGAAGAAGGCATTCCTGGAGAAGAGCCCCGAGCTGTCCTCGCTACGCCACGCCCTGTCCCTCTACACCCAGACCACGGACACACTCATCCAGACCTTTGTGACCACCCAGCATGCACAAGGTAGTTCAGACCGCTACCTAATGGCCCATCTATAAGGGTAGAGGAAGAGTGCATTTCCCACAGTATACCAGCAGAGGGCAGTATGTGTGCATAATAAACAAAGGCTGAATAGTCCCTCTTTTTTGGGTTTGCACATGCGTTTGGATCGCTGGACATTTCTTTGACATGTCATTGCTGTCTTTTCTTTATCTCCCGTGCTGCCTCTGTGCCAGTGCACAACGGGAAGGGAATAAGGTTAACCCCCAGTGAAAAAGTACAGCCCAGCAAGGGTAGGTTTTCAATTGGAATCATCCGCCAGCCCTTCCTCCCCCCCGCCCCACCCCACCTTCTCTCTTTGCACAGTTTCAGTTTTGTCCCTCTCTGCAGCCGAGGATGGTGAGGTCAATCCCGAACCCAACCCCTCCCCCTGCATCCCCCTCCTCCTCCTGACTTGCATTATGAATCAAAGTGTATTTTGCTGCCTGCCGCGGGCCAAATGGAAGCTCACTGATTGTGTGTGGGTGTGCGTTTGAACCAGGTTCAGGCGTGGACAAGCCGATAGGAGAGGTGTCCGTCCAGATCGAGCTGCACACTCATCCTGGGAACGGGGAGCGGAAAGTGAGCGTCAAAGGTATGTTTGAGTTTTCTTAACTTAATGCTAAATATGTGTCTCTTTATTTTACCCGCTTTCTGATTGCGTTCTAACGCGTTTTTGCTCACATTTAGTCATGGGAGCCAACGATTTAAAGTGGCAGACGTCCGGCATGTTCCGGCCCTTCGCGGAGGTCGCCATGATCGGGCCTCACCTCAGCGACAAGAAACGCAAATTCCAGACCAAGTCCAAGAACAACAGCTGGTCTCCCAAGTACAACGAGACCTTCCACTTGTAAGTGCTTTGGTTTTGTTCGTCCATGAATGTGGAAAAGAACGAACACAGTAATCTTTCATTTTCATTTCTTTGTTTCATCATCATTGTAGTGTTGCTATCTAACAGCAGCTATGTTATTGTTTCACTAGAAAAGCCCAAGTGCCATCAAAAAAATATTTTTTTATCAAAATAACAGTTATTAACAGTTTGACATTACATTTGTTTTTTGGTGTTTGCACAAAGTGTATCTGCCGCTTCTAAATCTAAATCAAATAATTAAAATGAATCTATAATGCAGTGCAGTTCAAATATTATGATGTAAATTTGTAAATAAGTAAATTTAAAACTGGCAGAAATGGCCAAATATTGGTTTCCCTTCAAGGCATAAGGGGCCGTCTCTTCATATACTATGACGCTAATGTAAATCTAAAGTCCAATATTATTATGTAACAAAAGGAACAGGCAGAAATATTGTTTTTTTTGTGCCAGAAGGTTAAGACGGAGATCATTTCACAAAATGTAATATGTATCTAGTGTTTACACCAGGATGTGCAACGTACATCTAGTGCAGTATTGTAGTTTATTTGAAAAAAATTCACTTTGGGCCACCGTAGATAGATCTACTCATGCTCGGGGTGCGTCCATGTAGCGCGTCTTCAAGTTGACCAACCTGCTGCCGTGTTGAACAACAGCGTTGCTCACACCTCTGCGTACTGTCTCTCTCTCTCTCTCTCCCTCCCCCCCACAGCGCCCTGGGTAACCAGGACGGCTTCGAGTGCTACGAGCTGCAGGTCTGCGTCAAGGACTACTGCTTTGGCCGCGCGGACCGAGTGGTCGGCTTGGCCGTGGTGCAGCTGAGGGACATCGGGGGAAGGGGCAACTGCGCGTGCTGGTGCCCGCTGGGGCAGCGCATCCACATGGACGACACGGGCCTCACGGCCATGCGCATCCTCTCGCAGCGCTCCAACGACGACGTGGCCAAGGAGTTCGTGAGGCTGAAATCGGAGACTCGCTCGGCCGAGGAGGGCAGATGAGGGGGAGCTGGAAGTGGGGGGGGAGGTAAAGACAGGGACGGGAGGTCTCCTAGTTTCACGATAAGAGAGGAGGGCCTCATGCGACGGCCTTTTTTGTCGCGTAGATTGGCCACGTCGACTCTTCACTTACACCTTTGGTGTGTCTGCTGCTGACTGTTTTGGCGGCGCAGACGCACTTGTCACTTTCACACTCTGGGTATTTTTGGACAAACTCTCACTCCTCGTGATCCTCAAAACACTCACGTTATTCACCGAGCTACTCACCAGGCAGTGACCGCTTACTCTTGTCAACCTCTAACCTCTAAAGTCTCACTCTCTAACCTCTTTGGCCCTCCACCCCCCATCCGCTGGAGCGGTGCAGCACGAGCACCCGAGCTGCCCGTAAATGCAGGACGACAGGCCAAACAAAGTTCCCACGCCTCTGAAGTGTTGTTGTGCAATAACCAACCCCTACCTGAACCCCCTCAAACCCTGGCCGTGGGTTTTTATGCCTTACACTCTGCAAACTGTGAATGTGTGAAGTAAAAACAAAAGTGAACGCCCTGTTCTGTAATTTCCACTGCGACGCCGTGTGGTTTGATCTCATGAAAGGGTTCTTTAGGTTGATGAATGAATGCGGCTGGTGGAAAGGAGACAGTCTGTCGATTATTGAATAGAAGTTGATGTAATGTCGTACTGTTTTCACGAGTCATGTCTCAAGAGAAGGTACTTAAACTTATAACTCCTTAGTCGAACCCCTTAGTTTAAATGATTCAGTTAAATATGTGCCTTGTCATGTTCCCACAGTGATATGATCAGTATGTAATCTATTCTGCAGCGATATCGATGACGATATGATTTCATGCGAAACCTCGTGAAAACGACACCCCCAGTGTTGACCCATGATGTGAGAGGTGAACCCTGTTTCGGCCATATGTTCGTCCAAACTATGAGCTCCGTTAGCAGCTCCAGTGTGACCAAGATGGCGTGCGGCCGGTTTATCTATTTATTTTTATACGTATTTATTTTTCGTCTGTGCTTTTTCGAAGACGGCGGTTCAAAAATGTCGTTTACTGCCGGGCGGTGAGTCTGACTCGAGCTGCTGCCGTTACTGCAGTCAGAGGCACATTAAAAAGTGTCCAGTCAGCGTCTGTTGGCGGCGACTCGTGACGTTGACCGACGATAGCGATGGCTGTATTTTACAATAGTTCATTTATAGTGAAGAAATATATGTTAAACTTTCAGGTAACAACGTTTTCTTCCAAAAAAGAAAGGATATCTGAACATTGAGTGTAGATTTACTTCTGGTTTACATCACTGCTCTGTCTATGAGTGGCCTTACTTATGGGGGAAAAACTAATGTTTCTCTTTTTTAATTACATTTTTTTATTTCCTTGTATCTCTGCAATGAGGACAGTTTTTTTTGTTTTTTTTGCCCATAATGATGTCAAATACGTTTTCCAAGTGATGTTCCTTATCATTTTTTCTACTTTTTATCTTTGACAATATTGCAAAAGCGTCGTAACTGTTACTAGGCGGGTTTCTTTGCAGCCATGTTGTTTATTTAGTGTCTGATTGTAAACGCTTCCTGTGAACCCTCTGTCCTGATATACAGTGAGACGTGTGCCAGTGAAGTTGCTCCTAACTGATGGAAAAATATTAAAGTGTTACTTTTAATGAAGGATGGATATTGCGGTAATATGAGTGCGTGCGTGTGTGTGTGTGTGTGTGTGTGTGCATTTTAAACCGCCTGTAGAACCTCTCCTCTTTGTTACAGGAACTGATCCATTGTGAATACCGACGTCTCATAGCCATTCTTTGATAAACACGTTCCTTGTGCCAAGCTACAAATGTTCACTTTTTATTGTGTTCTTTAATTCTATATTTTCTAAATTTGTTAACCCTTGCACTGCCACTAAATCACTGCAATAGTTAACAAGAACAGTATATCGGTCATTGTAACTGCATCCGTGTGGTGTTTTCTTTGTAAATGTTGACGTCACCATGTTGAGCGTTGTCGTAAATGAATTTTGTATAAAGTATTTGAGAAGTATCTCTAAATGTTTGTACCTGTTTGGTTTTTTTCCCAGTACAATACGACATTGACTGCTGATTGTTTATGGATCATTTTGATCATTAGAAAAAAACTATTTGAAACTGAAAGTTCAAATTTTGGTCTTGAACTCTGAAAAATACAACAATGTATTCAAACTAAAAATAAGTAAAGAAGAAGTTTTTTGGGGTTAAATATAACTTTTATTCAGTTTTGGAATTGTTTTGAATAAAATTCATTTTCCACTTTCATATATATTTAGATATTTGAGGTCTTATATTTTTCAGATTCAGATCTTATTTTTTTTAGTTTCAAAATTAATTTTTTCGGTTTCAAATCTTTTTATTTTAAATTTTCAGATCCTATTTATTTCAGTTTCAGACTCACGGTCTCATCAGTGTTTTAATTATTTTTCTCAAAGTTGCAGTGAGCGATTCTCATCCAGCTGTGTTTGTGTGGTTAAGTGATAAATGTCCTCTCGGTCCGCTAGCTGTTGGTAGAACCATTAAAACAAACAAAGTGGGTCGGGCCGAGCCACGCAACACGGTCCCGACCAATCAGCAGCAGGTATTGGTTGTACTGGCGCACAGGACGGGGGAAAGGTTTCATCCATGTAGAAAAAGAGTAAATCGATTTTATTACGTCTTATTTATTAAACCAAACGGATCTATTGTCTGGCCTTCACAAGTTGCTGTATAAATTCATACAACTTCAAAATTCAGGCCTTTACATCAGCTTTTTTTAGCATGATTTCTCTTATTGGCAACAACTGCAAACGTTATGAAACGCGATATGTTCTTTGATTCTCAACACACTGGGTTTCTTTCTTCTTCTTTTTCCACTTTGAATTGATCCACGTGACATCCTTTCAAGTGTTCTCTGTTGAGTTCCATCTTCTCGAAAAAACAATCATCAGGTCTGTTTGACAACATCCATGCAGGCAGGTTTATGTGTGTGTTGTATGTGGTGCACAAACACACGCACGCCCACACAGACAATAATTAATTCAGCAAGCTGTTCGTGTTGAGGTCCCCTGGACGTCACACAGCCCTCCCTTTGTTTTCTAGTCCAGGTATTAAATTCCATTTCCGTCAGCCATGAAGTCGCAATATTTGGAGTTGACATTTTAGTAAATCATTAAAATTCAAGTAACCGATGCCTGTGAGAAGGATCAAGTCCTGGGTCCGAGCACGCGTACCCGTCACAGGGTGTGTGCTACCTGACCGCCGTAACGCGGTGGCCCGTGCACCTGTGCTGTTGGTTTTTTTTACAGCCCCCCCCGTTTCCACTCTTGCGCCGCCTCTGCATCCAGGTCCAAAGATCACTGCACTGTTTGCTTTAGGCCTGAGCTGTTAGGCGTCATGGGGCGGGCTGCTCTTCCTGCTTCAACCTGAAACCAAACCACTGTTAGGCGCCTCTCTATCACCACCACACCGCTTCACCTGTCGTCCATCCTGCACGTCTTTCGTCCCTGGTCAAGCCCTGTTCTCCGGCGGTGCCTGGGAGTCCAGACAGAGTACAGACGAGGGGGGGAGGGGGGTGACTGGATTTACTTCACCTGAGGCGGAAGCAGAGGGAGGATTGATGTTTGTCTCTATTGTTTTCCGTTGAGGCCCCGTGTTCCTGTGTCTCTATGTGTGTGTGTGTGTGAGCAGGACCGTGCACAGGAAGTCACTTTTTATTTGTTTGAGGTATGTGGCTGCTTTTTCATTTGTTTTGCAGACATTGGAGAAGTGGTGGCTGTACAGCACTTTAGGGGGAAAAAAGAGACTCATTTCAAAACCTTTTGTAATGTGAGTCACATTTTAAATCAAAGTCGGAGCCTATTTGTCCCATTAGTTATGCGAGCGTGAGACACTTGCCCGACCATTCCCTTTGGTTTGGAGCAGGCTTTAGTGGTCTGAGCTGTACATAGAGACAAGTCAGGACATTGCTAAGCAGCGCAGTGTAACGGTGACAAAATATGTCCCATCTACTGCACCTGAGAGACCATTTAATATCTTCTGTTTTACGTGGACGACATCCAACTCTATTTGTCTTGTGTTGAAAAAGAATACAGGGGAATAAGTTGCTATATAGCCAGGGTGAGGATCGGCCACCGATTACTTCTTAATGTTTTATTGTTGTGGATTTCACTGTAGCCATTTTGCATTCTTCCTGTTCCATTTTGGTACTTATCCGCAGGTGTAAAAAAACACAAACACCAAGCAAGAACTATAGATTTTCTGCTGCGTATTCAAAGACCATTGTGAGCAAGTCAAACGTTCACGGTCACATGGCTATCTTGATCTTTGTGGTTATGGATTATCCGCCGTAGACTTCCCTCTGGTACAAAGGGTTGAGAAGGGAGTGCCTCCATGCGTTTACAGCTCTGCAGCGCAGATAAAAAGAAGGTCTCAAGGATGTCGCCCGATATCACCTCATGCAGGTCTTTGTTTTCTCGCCTGGACGTCATGTTGCCTTCGAGCTTTTATGGAAACATACTTTCATTTTTTGTCAGTTTTTTACGGCTGTAAGAGCAAACCAGAGTCTTAACCGTAATCGTACGCAAACAAGACCTCCAATAAACAAACCGGTTCCCCCTTTCAGTCGCTGAATCTCTTTTTTTCGGTCCAGCTAACAAGAAATGTCTCTCGGCCTCCTTGGCTATCCGTCCCTCTTCGATCAGTGAACGTGATGCTCTTTCTCCAGGCGTGAGATGTGGAGACGCTGAGCTTAAAGATGGAGTCGCTGACGTCGTACTTTGGCCCGTTGTGCGGGAAAGAGGAACAGAAAGGTGAGATCTGGAGCTCACAACTTGCACATTGAATGCTCTTAAAAGGTTCTTCTGGTAGCTACACAGTGGACAAACTACACATCTTAACAATTAAAGAGACCCATTTGTCCCATCGTTATTTGTTCTCACAGAGGAGGAGAGACACTTTCGAGCGAACGACAGACCTTTCAACCTGTCTTACCACTATGCCGTAAGTATGGACGTGAGACGGATAAACGGTCGTCTGCTTTTGCCACCTCTCATCTGTCACTTCCCTCTTCCTTCAGGACAACGCCATCAAGACCTCCAAATACAACCTTTTCACCTTCCTGCCGCTCAACCTCTTCGAGCAGTTCCGGAGGCTCGCCAATGCCTACTTCCTCTTCCTCATGGTCCTCCAGGTAAACACTGTGACTTTGTTTCGGGTCAACGTGGACTGTGCATCACAAATGTAGGCAGTATGGGATTATGGGTATGTATGCTCACTGATAGCGGCGTGATAGACGGATAGTCTTTGCAAAATATTCGGGGTAGGACTTTGACCTTTGACCTGACGGTATTTAGCTTCCAGAATATTTGATGCACGTGTAAAAAGAGGATTATATAATGCAGACGCATTATAATATAGATAATGGTGCTAAAGCATTTTAAATGTGTGCGTTCGGTTCCGTTGACAGCTCATCCCGCAAGTCTCCTCTCTGTCCTGGTTCACCACGGCCGTCCCTCTGTTCTTGGTGCTGACCATAACGGCCGTCAAAGACGCCAGCGATGACATAGTAAGAAGGAATCGATCTCCTGGCGCCTTGTGGGGGATTCCGCTCAATCGTTGAGACAGAAAGTAGTTCAAACATGCAAATTTAATCGTAAATGTTTTCCCTGTTTTGAGTAGAACCGGCACAGAAGCGACAAGCAGGTGAATAACCGCATGGTGGACGTCCTCATCGATGGAGAGTGAGTCATTTGCCATACAAATTATACACTATATACATCTAATAAATGATAGGAAGTACAAATATACAGCGTTTTGAGCTTCAAAAGGTCATGTAGATATATATTTTTTTTCTGTAGTGTTGTGATCTTGTCGTGTGTTTTCATTTTTCTGCCAGACTGAGAAATGAAAAATGGATGAATGTTCAGGTTGGAGACATAATCAAGCTGGAGAATAATCAGTTTGTCACAGTGAGTATGAAGACGCCACAATAAAGATTCTTTTACAGCACTTTTGATGATTTCAGTGATAACAACAGGGCCACTGAGCCCAAGACAACGTTCTATTGAGTGATAATAAAGTTTATCTATGTTGTACTTTCTCTGTATTCAACGCTTTCGTTTTTAAGGCCGACCTCATGTTGCTGTCCAGCAGTGAGCCTCTTAACCTGGTCTACGTGGAAACGGCTGAGTTGGACGGGTAAGTGCGCGTGCGTGGCTGACGTGCCGATGGTGTCTCACACTGGTCTTGGATTTCCCCCCTTCAGTCGGGTCTTGCTCACCTGCTCTCTGTGTCTCCCCCAGTGAAACCAATCTGAAGGTGAAACAGGCCCTGACTGTAACCGGAGACATGGGGGACAGCACCGACTCGCTGGCCGGCTTCAAGGGTGAAGAAACAGTATTTATACTGGATATTTGGTCAAGATATGGGGATTTCTCTGTATTCATTTTCATTCAAATTCATCCTTTTTGTGTTAGAGCTGTGGTAAAATAATGAGGTACAAACAATGGAAATTACACAATGAAGTGTAGAACTAAATAATTACTTTTCCTCATGAATACAGTTGTGTGAAAATGTGTTTGCCCCCTTCCTGATTTCTTATTTGTTTGCATGTTTGTCACACTTAAATGTTTCAGATCATCAAACAAATCGAAATATTAGACAAAGATAACACAAGTAAACACAAAATGCAGTTTTTAAATGAAGGTTTTTATTATTAAGGGGGAAAAAAATCCAAACCTACATGGCCCTGTGTGAAAAAGTGATTGCCCCCCCCCCTGTTAAAACATTAATTAACTGTGGTTTATCACATCTTTGGAAAGCTGAGTTCAATTTCTCTAGCCACACCCAGGCCTGATTACTGCCACACCTGTTCTCAATCAAGAAATCACTTAAATAGGACCTGCCTGACAAAGTGAGGTAGACCAAAAGATCCTCAAAAGCTAGACATCATGCTGCGATCCAAAGAAATTCAGGAACAAATGAGAAACAAAGTAATTGAGATCTATCAGTCTGGAAAAGGTTACAAAGCCATTTCTAAAGCTTTGGGACTCCAGCGAACCACAGTGAGAGCCATTATCCACAAATGGCGAAAACATGGAACAGTGGTGAACCTTCCCAGGAGTGGCCGGCCGACCAAAATTACCCCAAGAGCGCAGCGACGACTCATCCAAGAGGTCACAAAAGACCCCAGAACAACATCCAAAGAACTGCAGGCCTCACTTGCCTCAATTAAGGTCATTGTTCATGACTCCACCATAAGAAAGAGACTGGGCAAAAATGGCCTGCATGGCAGAGTTCCACGACGAAAACCACTGCTGAGCAAAAAGAACATAAATGCTGGTCTCAGTTTTGCCAGAAAACATCTTGATGATCCCCAAGACTTTTGGGAAAATACTCTGTGGACTGACGAGACAAAAGTTGAACTTTTTGGAAGGTGTATGTCCAATTATATCTGGCGTAAAAGTAACACGGCATTTCAGAAAAGGAACACCATACCAACAGTAAAATATGGTGGTGGTAGTGTGATGGTCTGGGGCTGTTTTGCTGCTTCAGGACCTGGAAGACTTGCTGTGGTAAATGGAACCATGAATTCTGCTGTCTACCAAAAAATCCTGAAGGAGAATGTCCGGCCATCTGTTTGTGACCTCAAGCTGAAGCGCACTTGGGTTCTGCAGCAGGACAATGATCCAAAACACACCAGCAAGTCCACCTCTGAATGGCTTAAGAAAAACAAAATGAAGACTTTGGAGTGGCCTAGTCAAAGTCCCGACCTGAATCCGATTGAGATGCTGTGGCATGACCTTAAAAAGGAGGTTCATGCTCGAAAACCCTCCAATGTGGCGGAATTACAACAATTCTGCAAAGATGAGTGGGCCAAAATTCCTCTACAGCGCTGTAAAAGACTCATTGCCAGTTATCGCAAACGCTTGATTGCAGTTGTTGCTGCTAAGGGTGGCCCAACCAGTTATTAGGTTTAGGGGGCAATCACTTTTTCACACAACTGTACATCACACTATCGAAGTGTTAACTTAGCTGTGTTGCTGATGTCTCTCTCTCTCTCTTTCTGTCTCTCTCTGTCTCTCTCTCCTCTCTGTATCTCCTGTGTCTGTCTCTCTCTCTCTCTCTGTCTCTCTCCACCTCTCTCTGTCCCTCTGTCTCTCCCCCCCTCTCTCTCTCTCTCTCTCTCTCTCTCTCTCGCAGGTGAAGTGCGGTGTGAGCCTCCCAACAACCGTCTAGATAAGTTCAGAGGAACCCTCTCCCTGGACGGACAGACCTACTCTCTGGACAATGACAAGGTGCTGCTCAGAGGATGCACCCTGAGGAACACTGAGTGGTGCTTCGGTCTGGTCATCTTCGGAGGTAAATTGTTGCTCCCACCGGAAATATTATGTGGTCGCAACAAAGAAACTGCACGTGGAACGGATAAACTTGGGGGCGCACCACTCACGTCTGCAGGGGCCCAGCAGAGGGCGCTCGCGCTACACAAGACAGACCAGTTCCAGTGTGTGTTTGTGTGTGTGGGGCCAACAATAACAAAGTCATGAATTGACATGACAGTATATACGGCATTGAATAAGAATGAATAACATTTGCAAAGATAATATCAAGTATTGGTAAGTAGAATAGTATTGGTAAGTAGAATAGTATTGGTAAGTAGAATAGTATTGGTAAGTTAAGTTAAATACCAACAGTTTGTTAAGGTGAGAGCAGGAAAACATATTGAACCTAAACGACTCCAGTGCAACAAAAAGTGATGTTTTTAGAGCAGCTATCCACTGAATTTGATGAACATTTCAAAACGACTCAATTAAACTATCCCCACTGTAGCTTACATTTAACAGGCCGGCATGCAGTCGCTGAGTAAAGTACAAGTTATAGTTTGTTACATTGTAATGGTATAGACCTACATAGAAAAAGTAAATCACAATACTATAAGTACAAACTTCCCTACGTATTAATGACAGATCAAGATTTTCCCTTCAGCGTATGGATAATAACAAGCGATGGAATCTCTCCAGGTCCCGACACCAAGCTGATGCAGAACAGTGGAAAGACAATATTCAAACGGACGAGCATTGATCACCTGATGAATGTCCTGGTGTTGTGTGTGAGTTTCATGTCCGTGCCCACTGCCACATAAATACATATATACATATATATTTTTTTATATTGAGATGTGTGATATCTTGACTCTTATCAGATCTTCGGCTTCCTGGCGTCTATGTGCACCGTTCTGGCCATCGGCAATGGAATCTGGGAGGTGAGGGAGGGCTCAGTGTTCACAATCTTCCTCCCCCGTGAGCAAGGGGTTAACGCCGCCCTCTCCTCCTTCCTCTCCTTCTGGTCCTACGTCATCGTGCTCAACACGGTGGTGCCTATCTCTCTCTACGTCAGGTGCGTTCAGGCGAAGAACGACGACAAAATCGGAAAAGCGACGAAAGTTATCGCGACGTAAGTTCAAGAGTCTTAGTCTCACACTCCCCCCCCCCCCCCCATGTGTGTTGATGTCAGTGTGGAGATCATCCGTCTGGGGAACAGCTTCTTCATCGACTGGGACAGGAAGATGTATTACCCCAAGAGCGACACCCCGGCTCAGGCGAGGACCACCACGCTCAACGAGGAGCTGGGCCAGATCAAATACATCTTCAGCGACAAGACCGGCACCCTGACGCAGAACATCATGACTTTCAACAAGTGCTCCATCAATGGGAAAGCTTACGGTGAGCTGCTCTGCTCACATACAAAGTTCAGTTGCATGGACGCACCAGCGTGGGCTGAATGATTGATTGAGTGTATGTCTCTGTTATTCAGGGGAGCTGTTCGACTTCTCTGGACAAAGGGTAGAGATAACGGAGGTGAGAGAAGAATACTGACACACTGTTGTGTATTTTTGTGAATTGTGTGTACCACTCCAACTCTTTTGTCTCTCTTGTCTGCTTCTTTTACCCCGCAGAAGAGTGAGAAAGTGGACTTCTCCTGGAACCAGCTGGCCGATCCAAAGTTCTTCTTTCACGACCACAGTCTGGTGGAGACGGTGAGAGAGGGAAACCCGGAGGCTCAGGCCTTCTTCCGTCTGCTGGCTCTGTGCCACACCGTTATGCCCGAGGAAAAGGAAGAGGGTGAGCGTCGCTTTGTTGCTACAGGGATGCAGAGCTTTAAAACAGAAGAATCACAACGTGTATGTTCTGTCTCTGGTGATGAAATGTGTGTGAGCTCAGCCCTGAATTATACAGATTCCTTCTTTCTTTTTTTTACTCTTACATCTTTTTCCTCCTCATATTAACCATTTTGAATGGCAGTGTTATAAAGGACCCAGTGACTGACAGCAGTGCAAAACCCACTACACACATTTTCACATCTGAACTTTCTCTCTTCTCTCCTCTCTATTGTCTTCATCTCCTGGCAGGCGAGCTCTTCTATCAGGCTCAGTCTCCCGACGAGGGCGCTCTGGTGACCGCGGCGAGGAACTTCGGTTTCGTGTTCCGCTCGCGCACGCCAGAGACCATCACGGCCGTGGAGATGGGCCGACAGGTGGTCTACGAACTCCTGGCCGTTCTCGACTTCAACAACGTACGCAAGAGGATGTCGGTCATAGGTGAGAGACAGCAGTGGTTCAAACTATGTCTTTCATGTTGCCAAAATAGGATGTTTGAGTCTCCATCGATTTTTTTTAGAGAAATTTCTTAAGTTATGTAAGCCGTCATACAAAGTCATTTGTTGCCTTCATGGTTTCAAATCCCCATTGGTGCATTCAAGGACGATCCGATAACTGAGATGTATGTGTCTTTTACTCGTTAGTAGAAGGCACATCATGTCAACCTATAATGAACGTCTATGTGTCGCCTCACGACTTCCAACATGTGTTCCAGTGCGTAGCCCCGAAGGCAAGTTGACTCTTTACTGCAAAGGAGCCGACACCATCATCTATGAAAGACTGCACCCGTCCTGCAACAAGCTGAAGGAGGTGACCACCGGACACCTCAACGTGAGTGATGCCGTCGGGGGTTTTTCGCACCGTGTTTGGCGCTATTAAACTAAAGTTTTTTTAATTCAATTTTTGATTTGTCCAACTGGAACAGGAGTATGCAGGGGACGGCCTTCGCACGCTGGTCCTGGCCTACAAGGACTTGGATGAGAGCTACATGGATGAGTGGAAACTGCGCCACCACGAGGCCAGCACCGCAATGGGGGACCGAGAGGAGAGGCTGGATCAGCTTTACGAAGAGATAGAGAAAGACCTGCAGGTTAGTCCACCCACTGAATGCCTCGACACGTCGCTGCATAGTTTGATTTGCTCAGCAAAAAGAATACAGATATACAGTAACCAACACCGAGTAATTATGAAAACCTCAGACCAACAAAAATATCTCATATGCAGATTTAACGGCAAATTAAACCAGCATTGCTTAATTTCAATGAATGTAGTTGTTCATGTTTTAATTCTGCCAGAGAAAGAACATTTTTACACACAGAATAAATCCTTTTTGACACGTCCACCCTGTACTCCGTGTTTTTTAGCTGTTGGGAGCGACGGCTGTGGAGGACAAGCTGCAGGACGGCGTTCCACAGACCATAGAGCAACTGGCTAAAGCTGACATCAAGATCTGGGTGTTGACTGGTGATAAACAGGGTTAGTGTCACACACTTCATGTTCCTGATCCAATCACACATTTCAAGACGGGTAAAATAGTAATGTGGAATATTTTCTCATATTCTCTCACTGTTGATCGAATCATGTGTCAGGAACCCTAACCATAAACACGCTGTTTCATGTGTAAATTAACCAGACGTCACGGAGGGAATGTTTGGCATGTCTGCCCGATGATTTGCATCACAGTAACTGTTGTGGACGGTTTGAAACAGAGACGGCGGAGAACATCGGCTACTCCTGCAACATGCTCAGAGAGGAGATGAAGGAGATTTTCGTTGTGGCAGCCAACACGGCTGAAGCAGTCAAAGAGGAGCTACGGTGAGTCGGCCCGAAAGAAATAACAAAGAGAAATGTCTTTTCTCAAGAGGACAAAACATGTTAAGGACTGATAATGTATTCGACACAATTTGACATACATTTGATGCTTTTTTTTTGTATGGTGACTGATATGCTAAGTGCTGCTCTTTATGACAGTGCCCCGCCTCCTTAGTTACTGTTCAAATATGCAGTTTACTATGATAACTGTATTTTAAACAATGGTTCCTTGATTTTATTTGCATTATGTTAACTGACAAACACCCATGAAGAAGAGGAGTGGCTGATTAAAGTCCACCATTGAACTCTAAGCCCTGCTGGCATCGTGTTTTAATTGTTGGCAAAGTACTTTTAGTTAGTAATGAGTTTAAGTTAAACAATTAGTTTAGATCCCAAACTATTATTTTGGAAAAAGTACAGTTCATAAAAAACAAACAAAAAAAGAGCTTTTCTTTAACTCAACCGACCATCCCCATGCCCTCCTGTTGTCAGGAATGCTCGGAGGATAATGTGTCCAGACTCAGCGGAGGAGCCGTCTGTGATCAAGGCTCGAGCCGGCCTGTTCTGGTTTCAGAAGATTGAGAGAGTGGAGGACGAGAAGGTGGACGGAGATTATGGCCTCGTTATAAACGGGCACAGTCTGGTAAGAAGGCTTTTTTTAAGTGGGGTTGTGTTGACTCATGACCTCATCGCGGTCCTCTCATCCCGGTCCTCTCATCCCGTCTTCCCTTTGGTCCTCAGGCCTTCGCACTGGATACGGACCTGCAGCTGGAGCTGCTGAGGACAGCATGCATGTGCCAGACAGTGATTTGCTGCAGGGTCACCCCTCTGCAGAAGGCCCAGGTGGTTCAGCTGGTCAAGAAATACAAGCAGGCCATCACTCTGGCCATTGGCGACGGGGCCAACGATGTCAGCATGATCAAGGGTGAGCTCATTCATCTCAGGGCACTATTACCAGAATCAGACAGATGTATTTACAGTAAGAGCAAACACTTGGTCGATAGTTAGAACCGTGTTTTTCTGCTTTCTGTCCGGCCTCCAGCTGCTCATATCGGTGTGGGTATCAGCGGTCAGGAGGGCATGCAGGCGGTTCTCTCCAGCGACTACTCCTTCGCCCAGTTCCGTTACCTTCAGCGCCTCCTGCTGGTGCACGGTCGCTGGTCCTACCTGCGCATGTGCAAGTTCCTGCAATATTTCTTTTACAAGAACTTCACCTTCACCTTCGTGCATTTCTGGTACGCCTTCTTCTGCGGCTTCTCTGCTCAGGTGAGGGACATGTTTTGGTATGATGTCACATCATGTTAATGGGTTACTTGCAGAGTGAAAAAAATGTGTGATCAAGTGAGGCACACGATTCACTCTAAGAATAATGCATATTAAAGAAATGTAAATATATTTCATATGTAATAATATGCCAATATTAAATACATCTGATGCTTTAATTGCACACAATTTGCATTGTGAATGAATATAAGGTTAGAGGAAAGGACGTCTCATGACTCTTAAAACATAATTCCTCGTTCCTCTCTCCTTGCATGGTTTCCTCCATGCATCCCTGGTGGGAGGGACTAAGACGCAAGGAAAGGATGCAAGTGAGGGAAACGGGGATGCAATTAAGAGACTTGGGATGTACCCAGAGACAGATCATTTTGTTGGTTGAACAGATACAGATAAGCTCCACCCTCGCATGTCACTTCTGGTTGCAAAAAAACAAGATGGTGACGGTTAAAATACCGAAGTCAAGACTTCAAACGGCAGTCCGCAAACCAATGGGAGTATATATAACATAAACATATACATATGAAGTCTATGGGAACAACTCAACAGATATGCTCTATAAGCTCAAATGAACTTGGAGAGACCTGTACGGACACTTGTACATCAGCAAAACAAGAATTGAACCGCACAATACAAACAGTTTCCCATATTTAACAAATGTTCAACGTTAATAGATACAATGTTATTAATGCTATATTTACATGTTTAATGTCCTCTTTGTTTTTCGTGCTCATAGACTGTGTATGACGAGTGGTTCATCACATTGTACAACCTGGTTTACACGGCACTTCCTGTCCTCGGCATGAGCATCTTTGACCAGGTATGCACAAAGGGGAAAGTTAATATTCAATTACTTTGAGCTATTTAGCTCACAGACTCAAATTCAACATGTTCTTCTGATTAATATCATATCATGTCTCAGTACTTCACACCCCACCTGCATCCTCTTCTCTCTCCTCTCCTCTGTGTCTGCAGGACGTGAATGACCGCTGGAGCTTCCAGTACCCTCAGCTCTACACTCCGGGCCAGCTCAACCTATACTTCAGTAAGAAGGCCTTCGTGCGCTGCATGATGCACAGCTGCTACAGCTCCCTCATCCTCTTCTTCATCCCGTGGGCCGCCATGCACGACACGGTCCGAGACGACGGTAAAGACATCGCCGACTACCAGTCCTTCGCTCTGCTGGCGCAGACCTGTCTGCTGATCGTGATGAGCATACAGGTGAGGAACACCGAGAAGCAGCACGGCACGCTGAGGTGGCACCATTTCCGTATCAATGACCGGATTAGCCCGGATGTGCTCATTTTAGTGTATTTGTCAAATTGCCATTTTTGCTTGCAGCAAAGTGACTTGTACTGTGGAGGATTTTTATTCATAGCACCCGCCCTTAAGAATGAATAAATATGTGCGGCTGAATTTAAAATAGAAAGTGCTTTTGCTTCGCTGCAGCTGTGTCTGGACACCTCTTACTGGACGGCAGTGAACCAGTTCTTTGTGTGGGGCAGCCTGGCCGCTTACTTCGCCGTCACATTAACCATGTACAGCAACGGCATGTTCCTCATCTTCACCTCCTCTTTCCCCTTCATCGGTGAGTACATTCAGCTCATTCGTAGAGGCAGCTTGGTGCTGCCAACGTCTTCAAATTGCTAAAAAAACAAAAAGTCACCTACAAGCCATATACAATAATTATATAGTCGTATGGTAATAAACGCTTTTACTGTGTGATTGTTGCTGCTGGTCTGATGATTCCAGGCACAGCAAGAAACTCTCTGAACCAGCCCAACGTCTGGCTCACCGTCTTCCTGACGTCCCTCCTCTGCATTCTGCCGGTGGTGGCTTTCCGCTTCATCCTCATTCAGCTTTGGCCCACCGCCAACGACAAGGTGAGACGACCACATGACACGGGAATCTGTTCTACCTCAATACATGAAGCTCTCTGGGTGGTAGAATATGATATATGCCAATAATAAGGTCATTTAACTATCATGGATAAGAAGAATACCCACAGTCTCCTGCGGTCACATTTGCTTGGTTTAATGTTCATGACCAACATCTGGAATATGTTTGAATGTTGAGACATTGGAATTATAAGGTTCTATCATTCAGTCTTACTTTGTTTTAATACATAAAATGACCTATTACTGAAGGGAGTCATTCAGCTGTACACGAGTTATAAACAGTTAGCATCACATCAGACACTGAAACATTCAGTAGCTGCTCATCTCAGATTGCTACATATGAAATGTTGGCCTTAACTGGTGTAATCTATGAGGTAGTCACAGTATCAGACACAGTTGTCACTTGTATATTATGGATATTTAGATATCGACTAGAGCCTTCTAATAATTCTAAGTTCACATGATGGTATAAGAATATACAAGTAGGTGTGTATGTGTATACTATCATGAATAATGAGTAGCAATAAACCCTTCTGAATGAGCAAATGTGCCCATATTAAGAAGTCTGCAGTAAAGACTGGTCCCTCTGTCCCTCCTCTAGGTGAGACATAAGGTGCGGAAGGAGGCGCTGCCGGCGCCGGCGCCTCGCCGCCCCCCCGCCAGGCGGATCAGCACCCGTCGCTCCGGCTACGCCTTCTCCCACGCGCAGGGCTACGGCGACCTGGTGACGTCTCGGAGGTTCCTGCTGAGGCTGCCCCTGAGGAGCCGCCCGGTGCTGTTCACACAGACGGACTCCCCGTTGGCTCAGAACCAGCCGCAGCACTACCGCACCATCACAGAGGAGGCAGAGGACTCGCAGACACCCCCACCGACCAGAGGGGCGGCCGCAGCACAGTGAGCGGGAACCTGGTCGAACATATACACCTAAAACTGAGTCTGACTCCAACTCAAGTTTTATTAAATTGAATGGATGAATATCACTGTGAAGATGTTGAACTTGACAGCACAAACAACCTTAAAGGACCACACGGGTGCTTTTGTGTGTTTCAGCAACACTCATACAGTATATACTGCAGTCTACATCACTGCTGAGCATTTTCCAAAGCGTACCTACCACAAGGTTTTATACCGATTTTCTTCCTCCCAATTTATTCTATTATAACGACAATCAACAAATGTTTTTAAGCAGGGATGCAAACTTGAATCTCTCAGATGCTGAAAAGCCCTTATTAATTGCAAAAAGGAGAAATTCCAGTTAATTTCAATTCAACTTTATTGGCATTACACTGCAAATCAGTCTTTCAGGATTATGCAACCTGTGATCGTGCAAGACTGATCGTGTAGATTTCTCACGACCTATCTCAGACTTACGGTAAGCTTCATGAAATGGCCAGAAATATTGGATACAGTTTGTCCTTAACAAGCTCAAATATATGCAAAACCAGGAAACTGCGATGAGATTAACTCTGTGTCATGAACACCAAATTGTTGTGATTTTATAGAACGTTAAGTTGAAATGAAATGTAAATGAATGAATGTAAAAGGTTGCCACATGACTGATCTGGAGGAACTGTATCACCACACTGCCTGCAACATGAAGTTGCATTTTGTACCTTTTTTAATTGTTAGTTTTTTCTTCCAGTGAATTGTCAATATTCAGGGTGTCATTCTTAGAAAGCATAAAACAGCGATTTCAGTTGAAATCCACGATGAACCTATTTTCACTGTTTACATAATTATATACAAATTTTTAAAAAATGTTTTATTATTGCTCTGCTCTGTTTCTGTCGCCTGTGAAGAGATGTATAACTCTGCAGTATTCTTTTTCTCCATACCAGTAACATTAAAGGTACAGTGATGGTTTAGTTGTCATAGAGGGACCAGCAGGCAGCACATTCATAAAATAACTTTTTTTCAGTCCAAACACATACTTTGCCATCGTGTCATTCATTGTATTGTGTAACCCTTTCTACATGCGAGATCATCTGTGACTAAAAAACTTAACTTGATTGACCTCTATCGCTAGACCAAATGATCTTACGTCCCTTATCTTATAATGACATCAAATAGAGCACACCTCTCCACACACACATATAGGAACCTCCACGGACAACACATCACTCAATACAGGAAGCAAAGAAAAGGAAATAGCCTACATACAAGTCCAAGGAATGCCATTGTAAAAGACTGAAGAAATAGCCTATATATATATATATATATATATATATATATACATATATACTGGTTTAATTTCGATGCTTTTTTAATTCCACCACAGCATCTTGGTCAGATCATTGTGATGCTTCTTGATAAACGAGTCTAGGTTTTGGAGATGAACTGATAGAAACACGCATTGAGCACAAGTCTGTACACAGATGTTAGAATCTGTATATGAAGGACAAAAATAAAAGATAATTGTAAATATTTGATAACGTGGACTCTTTCAGGGAGCCTCAACCCTCCAGATTTGTTTGCATTATGCATGTGGCAGTGGGCACTTTTTTTCTCTCTCTCTCTCTCTCTCTCTCTCTCTCTCTCTCTCTCTCTCTCT